TCCATTCAGTGGTTCTCTAAAAGAAGTCATTTGTATGCATTTCCCATAGGGTCCTATGTTAAACTAAGTCCCCCGCTGGCGGCCATCTTGGATGATGGATCGGCTACAAAGTAACAACACTTGGTCAGCACCTCATAAGGAACATTCATGCCATGTTTGGTTTCTTTCCATTCAGTGGTTCTCTAGAAGAAGTTCAAAATGTAAAAAGTTAACGCCGACGACAGACGACGCTGGACGACGACGGACAACGCCGGACGACGGACGCCAAGTGATGAGAAAAGCTCACTCGGCCCTTCAGGCCAGGTGAGCTTAAAATGAGGCAGACTTAACTTTATCTGTTGTATCCTTTATTTCAAGTTCAATGGGATAGAGGAATTCAACATAGTCACAAAACTTTGAATTATTCAGTGATAGGACATCATTTATACAGCTGAAAGGAAAGTTAAAGGGTAATGCTAGTTTCTTTTCATTCTTTCTAAGAAGCTCCTGTATGAAGTCAGCCTCAAATGAATAAAGGAACAAGTCCCAAAGAAGAGGAGCACAGTTGGTTCTCATGTGAATGCCAATTGTTTGTTGAAAAACATGTCTTCCAAATGTCATAAATATGTTGTCAATCAAGAAATCAAGAATCTTGACAACGTCAGTTTCATAAAAAATTTTGTTTGAATCAGTGATTTTTTACAAAGTATGATTTATTCCTTGAGCTCCCTATGACAAGATACTTGTATCTACGTTTAAAAATGGGTAAAAATGTTCATTCAAGGACAATAACACCTAGAAGGAGTTGACTGATAAATTTGGCCCTGCTGACCTATTTGTAGACCTTATTTTGTAGATCATTTTTTGTTACAGTTACTTTCTAGCTATCTATAATAGTTTTTTAAAAACAAGAGTGCACACGCTGAAATGTTGCCTGTTTTACTGGCAATTGATTTTATGTTGAAAGTCTTAAAGATAAAGGTTTTATTACAAGTATCAAATAAACTTAACATTTTTAAAGATCCATGACAATGAGGTCAAGGTCAAATAAAAACTGTCACACAGACATGTACACCTTACAATTATTCCATACACCAAATATAGTTGACCCATTACTTACGGTAATTGAATAAACTGTTAACACAGAGATATGTCTTGCCTTTTTGTACTTTTGATAATGCAAATAACATGTAAGTTATGCAAATATTCAAAGTAAATGAACCATGACTGAAGGTACATGGCAATCAATCTCCATGGAAATGAGATGTGCCAATGCTAATACAACTGCATACCAAATACCATAGACTTATCATAAGTCGTTCCCTTTCAACAAACCTAAACACAAACATTGACTTGTAAACTATGTAAAAGTTTCAAAGTCAATGAACCATGATGAGGGGGTGGGGCCATATAATCTCCATGGAAACGAGACTTGCAAATGCCAATAAATTTGCATACCAAATATCATTGACTTAACATTAGCCGTTTTTCTTAAACTGATCTTATCACAAACTAATACATGTAAACTAAGCAAAAGTTTCAAAGTCAATAGACCATGACTGAGGGGGCGGGACCATATATTCTCCATGGAAATGAGATGTGCTAATGCTTATACAATTGCATACCAATTAACATTGGCCTACCACTTATGGTTCCCCTTGAACTGACCTAATCACAAACTAATGCATGTAAACTAAGCAAAAGTTTCAAAGTCAATAGACCATGACTGAGGGGGCGGAGCCAAATAATCTCCATGGAAATGAGATATGCCAATGCTTATACAACTGCATACCAAATATCATTGACTTACCACTAGTGGTTCCCCATAAACTGACCTAATCACAAACTAATACATGTAAACTAAGCAAAAGTTTCACAGTCAATAGACCATGACTGAGGGGGCAGGGTCAAATAATCTTCATGGAAATGAGATGTGCCAGTGCTAATACAACTGCATACCAAATATCATTGACCAACCACTAGTGGTTCACCTAAAACTAGACCTAATCACAAACTAATACATTGTTGACACCGCCATTGCCGATGCCGGAAACAGCATACCTATGTCTCGCTTTTTGACACTGTCAAGGCAAGACAAAAACAGACCAAAACACAAAAACTAATGTTAACCAATGAACCATGAATATGAGGTCAAGGTCAGATGATACTGGCTAGACAGACATGTACAATCATTCCATACACCAATAATATTTGACCTATTGCTATTTAATAGTATTTGAAAAACAGACTAAAACACAAAAACTTAACATTTACAAATGACCCATAAAAATGAGGTCAAGGTCAGATGACACCGGCTAGACAGACATGTACACCTTAAAAATCCTTCGATAAACCAAATATAGTTGACCTATTGCTTATAGTACATGTACTTGAAAAATAGACCAAAACACAGGAACTTAACATTGACCAATGAACCATGAAAATGAGGTCAAGATCAAATGACACCAGCTAGACAAGACATGTACACCTTACAATCATTCCATACAACAAATAGAATTGACCTATTGCTTACGGTACTTGAAAAACAGACCAAAACTAAAAAAAATCAACAATGACCAATGAACCATGAAAATGAAGTCAAGGTCAGATGAAACCTGCCAGTCTGACATGTACCCCTTACAATCATTCTGTACCAAGTCAGGAATATGACAGTTGTTTTCCATTCGTTTGATGTGTTTGAGCTTTTGATTTTGCCAATTGTTCAGGGACTTTCCGTTTTAAATTTTCCTTGGAGTTCGGTATTTTGTTGTTTTACTTTTTTCCATACACCACATATAGTTGACCTGCTGCTTGTAGTATCTGAGAAATGGACCTGATCACATAACTTTAACCTTGATCACTGATCCATGAATTGAGGTCAAGGTCAGGTTAACCCTGTCTGATGGACATGAAGACGTTGCAAGGAACCCATATACCAAATATAGTTATCCTATGTGAGAAATTCACATGACAAAAAAACTAATTTTTTTTCAAGCAGTCGCTGAACCATGAAAATGAGGTCAGGGACTATGGGCATATGACAGACGGAAACTTCGTAACATAAGGTATCTGCATACATCCAGGTCTTCTACCTTCTGAAATATAAAGCTGTATACAAATAGTTTCCCCGCTGCCGGCGCCAGATAGTAATACCTATGTCTCGCATACTGCGACTTTCGTCGCAGGCAAGACATAAAGAGATTTCTAACAGCATGAAACCCTGAACCATGAAAATGAGGTAGAGGTCAGATGAACCCTGCCAGACAGACATGTACAACAAATATAGTTGACATATTGCTTATAGTTTCTGAGAAACAGACTTAACCAGCAAAATTCAACATTGACCAATGAACCATGAAAATGAGGTCAAGGTAAGATGATACCTACCAGACAGACATTTACATCTTACAATCATTTCAATACAGTTGACCTTTTGCTTATAGCACTACAAAAACAGACCAAAACACAAAAACTTAACATTGACCGGTACCATATGAACTGAAAATGAGGCCACGGTCAAATGAAACCTGCCAGACTGACATGTACACCACACAATCATTCCATACACCAAATATAGTTATATATTATTGCTTACAGTATTAGAAAAAACAGACTTAAAACAGAAAAAGAAATGAGCTGTCAATTTGAAAGCGAACTGGGTTTTCTGTTTTCTGCACTTTTAGGTTTTGTTTTTTTTTTTCCTGTCACATTCTCTGTTTTCCAATCTATCAAGGACCATAACTCCTGAATGGCAAATATTGAAATTGTCAATATCAAAATTGACCACTATTTTGTCATCAGTAACAGCATGTCAAAATTTATTGAGCATTGGCTGAACAGTTCATAAGTAATTAAAAGGAAATGACAAATAGTGCCAATTTCCAATCTATTAAGTACTAGAACTCCTGATGGGCAAAAATGAAAATCATCAATATAAAGTTGACAACCATTTTGTCATCAGTAACAGCATATTAAAAGTTTAAGAGCATTGGTTGAACAGTTCATAAGAAATTGCACGGAAACGATATAAAGTGCCATTTTATAATCTATCAAGACCATAACTTCTGGACGGCAAAAGTGAAAATCATCAATATCGAACTTGACCTCCATTTTTTTTATCAGTAACAACATATTAAAATCTTAAAAGCATTGGTCAAGTAGCTCATAAGTAATTGCACAGAAACAATATATAGTGCCATTTTCCAATAGATCAAGGACCATAACTCCTGAACGGTAAAAGTGAAAATCGTCAATATCAAACTTGACCTCCATTTTGTCATCAGTAACAAAAATTTTAAAGCATTGGTCAGGTGGTTCAGATTCCTAAGTTCAAAGACTCATAATTCCTACAAAACTGATAAAAAATTCTTGTGGATATGCACATCTACATAGTATGCCTGCATTAACTACAAAGATTCATGATATTCTGTTGTATGGTTTGAGAGGAGTTGCACTGTCTGACAAACTGTTGCAGAAGTATATTTAAACCAAAATTCGAAGTTAAAGGTTCAAAACTTTTAGAAAAAAAATTGAATCATAATTTCCTGTAATTTAATTCACATCTACATAGTATGTCCTTATTATCTCATGAAATTCTGTTGTGTGGTTTCAGAGGAGTTGGGATGTCAGGAACAGGACTGATGGCCTGACGGACAGACGTGTCAAAATCATTATACCCTTCACAACTTTGTTGTGTGGGTATAAATATAGTTGACCAATTGCTTTTATTATCTGAGAACGGACCTTATCATGTAACTTTACCCTTGATTACTGATCCATGAAATGAGGTCAAGGTCAGATGAACCTTCTGACATACATGTAGACCTTGCAAGGAACCCATATACCAACATAAGGCATTTGCATACAAGGTATGAAGCATCCAGGTCTTCTACCTTCTGAAATATAAAGCTTTATACAAATAGCCTTCACCATGGCCTGATTGTACTCCTCATGTTGTGACTTTCATCTCATGCGAGACAAAAATTGCAAACCTGATGAAATTTGGTGGTTTGAAAACATACCTGTTACGATCAAGTTTGTCAACTTTATGTCGTCCAAATTTTACACAAACTGGCTGCATAACATCTCTGTAAAAAAAAAATAATAATGAAACACTGCACAGGCAGCAGTATTTATGGCACACAATAATTCATCATAAATTTAACTATAATCATTATAATTGGTGAGTCTGACAGATAGAAACACCTCATTTTCTATAGAAATTTAACCAAGATGTCGTCGATCATATATTCGAGGTTGCTTTCCATTAGCAGTGATTCATAACTAAGGTCATCTGATTTTTATTGGACATTTGGTACAGTTAAAGATTGAGCATTTTCAAATCAAATTTTAATGGACCAATAAAATCATCTTTTACCTTTTTAATATGAATAAAACCACTTATACATAGCCCCATTGCTTTCTATGTTAAATTCTGCAATTTCAAGCATTCAGAACTTTTTTGTCTTAATTTTAAACAAGATTGCTATCCTGTAGCCAAATGCTGTGCTATATAAAATTAAATGGCAAAAAACATAGGCAACAAATCCTACCAAATATGAGAGGTTTCTGTATAACAATTGCAGAGGAGTACGTTGCATTCATAAGGTGTTATTGTCACAATACTAAATAAATTGGTCTAAGTCCCATAACTCTTGTTCAAATTTTCAGATCAAAATGACGGTACAATATGGTCAAAAACACAAGATGGCAGGGGTGTGGAAATGCTATGCCCGACTCGCCCGACTCGTACATTTGAACACCCGGACAAGTAATTTTTTTTGTCTGGGTTGCCCGTGGACAAGTAAAAAATTACACTTGACAGAATTCAATTCAATCAAAAATATAGAATTATTTACACAACTTATTAAGATGTATTATTTTATGTAAAGCTATAAAATGAACTTAAATAATTAATAGCCATTCCTATCTTCTTTCTTTCACTAATACATTTATGATAGGGACCATATCTTGTATATAAACCTTTTTAATTTATTGATGGTGACAAAACAAGCTTTTATAATTTTATCCTGTATTTTTATATAAATTGATACATGAAGTACGTAAAACATTCCACTGAGAAAATCTGCCTTTTTAGATTTTATTAAAGTTTTACATCCTAAATTATTATCTTAATATCATATATATAGATCTTATTAAATAAAACCTTTTTTTTAACGTATTTTTATGCATAAAAGCAAATTCAAATGAAACATGTTTTTAATTATAAATAACAGGTACTCATATTAATGAATATATGGTAAATTAATTTGTAATAAAAAAGGTCCCTGTAAATATGCCATACATGACACTTTTATCGTTTATTTATATGTGCTGTACAAATGTTGGATAAAATTTTTCTTAAAATCTTAAAGTTAAGGTAAAACTCCATATGGAGGTGCTCCTAATTATTAAAGGAGGATTATACTAAGAAGTAGAAGTAAAAGAAACCAATGTTCAACACGTAAAAAACAAATATTTAAGTCAAAACATCAATGTTCATGACAAGAAGTATTAATTAAAACTGGAAATAGACTGATAACCAGAATAAAAAAAATAAGTATGCGAACCCGGGTCTCATAAACGTCCATTTACCCGGGATCGCCAATTAGGGTTTTATCCGCTATCTAACGGAAGTGTCATTTCAATTTTTCTTGAATGACTTCAATCGAGATTGATAAATACCTGATAAAAACACCTAGACTGTGAAATCAAGACAAAAAGAATGAAAATAATAATGACGAGTTGAGATAAATCGAAAAACGGAGGTGGAGAAAGACAGGGAATATGAAAAAAAAAAAAACAGAAACGAGAATTCCAGAAGTCATACCTAACAGATTTACCCTGGCTCTCCTGAAAATAAATAAAATTTTTGCACAATTTGTAGGAAACACCCACATCTTGATGATCAATAGTCTAACTTATTTGTTGGCAAATCAATAGATAGAAGGGACACTTAATGATCTATTATTTAGTTTTCATTTCTTCACTGGTTTCAAAACTTAGTACATGTACCTACATACTAGCATTTTAAAAACATTGCAAAATTGCCCTCTAGATGTCTTTTGCTTGTTTTGCTGTTGGGTTTCTGTCTCATTGATGTTAACCCCATACCTCCTTTTATTCATACACATTAACAAATATCACAAACATCATTTATATTGTGATACAAAACAGTTTTTAAGAATCATACAAGCTTACAGTAAAATATTTCAATATTTATTGGGAAATTCAGGGCAAGTAACTTTTTTCCGGACAAATAAAATATACAGTTTTACTTGCCCAGGAACAAGTGCTCACAACAAATATTTCCACACCCCTGGATGGCAAACAATAGTACAAAAGTATGAGAGCTTTCTGTCAAATGGACCCAGAGAGGAGGTGTTATTGTAACAATACTAAATAAAAGAAGAAAGTGTCTATGGGACAGAGCATAAGTTGTGTTCAAAATAATGAAAGGTAGAAAATTCATGATGGTAGCGTGTAATATGTTTTAAGAAAATTAATTAAATTGACATAGTTTTGACACTCCAAGTATGGTGTTTGAGGGAATCACTCAAGGAGCTGATATACTTTGGGATTTCATTATTTTTAGAAAGAACAGTATTTTGGGATATATATAACAAATCCAGTGAATGCTCAAGAGTGCTAGATGCTAAAAATAAAAGAATTTAATATAAAGTGAATGTTTTAAAAAACGTGGTACCAATAAATAAACATTCGGAAATCAAATTATCCTTGATAAACTGCTATATAAGTTTGTCATATTTTTGTTGACAAGTATGAATATGAGTGGTTTTATCCACCAAAAAAGACATAACAAAGTAATATGTGGGTCTGGATAGTGATAGGGTTTACAGGATAGAGAATAATGAGCCAAATCTACAGAAAATAAACAAAAAATTAATAATAGAGAAAAATAGGTAAAAAAATATATAGAATAGAGAAAAGTGGGGTGCTAAAATGAAAAGAAAAGTGAATAACATGAATAATGATGTGCAAAATATATAAAGACTAGAGAAAAATTACCTACAAAATGAAGGACACCCCATCCAGACTCTCATGTATTTGTGTTTCTAGAATAAATAGTCAAACGAAAGCTCAGGATGAACAAGAGGATAATATGTGATGGCGTCCAACAAAATGGGCCCAGATGCGGTAAAACGTATATTTGACTATGACATTGCAAAGTTAACGTCGACAAGCACCTATAAAATATTTTTTCGCTGCCTAAAAAACAACATTGCTTCACTAATTATATCACATTAACAGCTTACCATATGTGCGTATTTCGTAATTATCCTTATATATATATATTAAAGTCCGCATTATTTATTTTTAAAACAGTTCCGTATTTTAGCCTATTCATATTAAAAGTTACTTCCCGTACCGAAAACAAAAGTTGACAAAGTAAAAGCATCTCAAGCTAGTTTTGTTTCATTTTGCTCAAGTATATACCATCGGAACTAACAGATAAACAGAATGAGAGTTTATTGAGGAGCGACGGATTGTTGATGAATTATATTTTGCCCAGATAGAAAGTTACCAATGTAATAATCTAAACAATGATGTTGGCGCTGTTAACTTTGTGAGTCTGATGATTCCGAGTCGTAGCAGGATGATATTTTTATACAATTGATCCGTCAAATGAAGAAAATCGTGAATATATATGAAACATAAGCCGCAGAAGTGAAATACAGAAATGTTGGTTTACACTCTTTCTAAAGATTATGGAGGACGTTATCTCCAAACATTGTGGGGTCAAAACCATGTACTGAAAACATGATTTTAATACTTGATAAATACAGTACACATGTACATATTCAGCTAGCAAAAGAATAAAGAGACTAATGCAGAAAACAGTGCTCTTCGAGCAAAAAAAACTATACCAAACTTCCAGTTGACAGCCAAGATGCAGGTAATTATATTAAATAATCATAAAATCAGATTAAAATAAATGCGGATAGTGTCCACATGTGGACACAGATGATGCCCCCGCTTGCATATCATATAGTTATAAAGGGACATAACTGAAGAACGGTAAAAGTGACGCTACCCAAATTTGAACTTGATCTGAGTTTTGTGGTAATAAGCATTGTGTGTAAGTCTCATAACACTTAGTTGAGGCTAACTTAAGTAGAGAACAGAAACTAGAAATTCAGCAATTTTTCTATTTGTAAACACGCATAACTCTAGAACGGTTGTGTATAAGTTTTATAACATTTGGTTGAGACAAACTAAAGTTAGAGAACAGAAATGAAAAATTCAGCAATTTTTTTGTTTATAAAGGGACAAAACTCAAGAATGGTAAAAGTGTTGCCACCAAATTTTGTACTTAATCTGTATTATGTAGTAATAAGCATTGTGTATAAGTTTCATAACATTTGGTTGAGGCAAACTATAGTTAGAAAACAGAAACAAAAAATTTGTACTTGATCTTAGTTTTGTGGTAATGAATATTGTGTATAGGTTTCATAATGTTTGGTTGTGGCAAACTTAAGTTACAGAATGGAAACTAAAAATTTTGCAATCTTTCGATTTATAAAGGGGCATAACTCAATAATGGTTAAAGTGACACTACCCAAATTTAACTTGATCTGTGTTTTATCAGTGGAAGTCAAAATTAAACATTGCATTGTATAAAGCATTGATTGTAGTTGATTCAACTATAATCATGGACAAATTTTAAAAATTACTTGATATTTAGAAGAAAATAAAAATTTTGCAATTTTTTCCATTTATAAAGGGGCATAACTGTAGAATGGTTAAAGTGACGCCACCAAAATACAAACTTGATCAGTGTTTTGTGGTAATAAGCATTGTGTATAAGTTTCATAACATTTGGTTGAGGCAAACTTAAGTTAGAGAACGGAAACTAATAATTTTGCAATTTTCCATTTATAAAGGGGCATAATTCTAGAACGGTTAAAGTGAAATCACTAAAATACAAACTTAATCTGTGTTTTGTGGTATTAATAAGCATTGTGTATAAGTTTCATAACATTTGGTTGAGGCAAACTTAAGTTAGAGAACGGAAACTAAAAATTTTGCCAATTTTTCCATTTATAAAGGGGCATAACTCTAGAACGGTTAAAGTGACGCCACCAAAATTCAAACTTGATCTGTGTTTTGTGGTAATAAGCATTGTGTATAAGTTTCATAACGTTTGGTAGAGGCAAACTCAAGTTAGAGAACGGAAACCAATTTTGGGACGTATGTATGTACGTACGTACAGACGGACGAGGGTAAAACTTAATGCCCCCTCCGCTACGGCAGGGGCATAAAAAAACTGATAAGTGAGCAACAAAAAATTGCATATTTGAATATCAACATTTGATGTTTATGTTTTTCTTGTTTATCATGTTTATAAATCAAAATAGTAAAAACAATAAATTTAGTGATAACTCAGGCTGTGTACCCCTCTTTAAAACAGCTAAAGTAAATGAAAAATGTGACTGACAACTTACATATATATGTATCCATTTAGAATTAGAATGTACTTTCATTTTGTTAAATATTACTTGTAATTTTTATATGCAATGCATATGTAGAAATTTGTGTACATATTGAAATTAATAAAATGTTATTGACTGTAAATCATTTATAAATTTAGATGCACTTTTTTTTTACCACACTGCATAGTGGGTCTCATTGGGGTCTAAGCATGATGCGGGATTGGCAAATTTTTTGTAAGCGTGACTCGTGAAAGTCAAGTTATTGTGCGAAAACAGGGAACAAAGACGGGCAGGACACATGAAATTACAAGTGTTATTATTACAATGATAAGCGGGATATGGGAATCTGACAAAACACTAAGAGGGATCCGGGATCAGACCACCCCAATGAGACCCCCTGAATAATGATGTCATGTCATGTACATATTGACTTTTTAAGATGAAAGCACAAAATTGTAGTTTAGTATTCATATGAAAAATAGGGTTTCAGCTAGTTTTCTCTGAAATTGACAATGATAAATCATATATATACATGTAACCTCAAAATTTCGGCATCAGATGTTTAGCAACATGTTAAATTTACACCAATGAATTTAATTAACAGAAAGTTTATACTGACAGCACCAATCTGAAAACTGCATCTTTATGTTATAGTCTGAATTTTCATATTAACCTGAAGCGAGACAGACTGACGAACTGACGAACAAACGAACGGACGGACGAACGAACGAACGAACGAACGAACGGACGCACAGACCGAAAAACATAATGCCCTTCTATCGTAGGTAGGGCATAAAAACACAATTTAATATATATGTTGACTCTTTTTGTCTTTTGTGGTTATATCAGTGGTTTGTGTGCCTCGTACAGATCTTTTGAGACATTGAGATAAGATAATTGCAACTGATGTTTGTAGTTTGTGCATGTGTTGTGCTGTTACATCACTGTCCAAAATTGTGGTGGGGAAGGGGGTTTCCAAAGTCAGTAGCCTGTAGTACAGTGGTTGTCGTATGATCATGTCTTTCATATTTGTTTTTCTTAAATTGCTCTATTATAAATTAAGCAGTTAGTTTTCTCATTTGAAATCGTTTCACATTTTTCATGTTGGGGCATTTTACAGCCAACTATACAGTATGGGTTTTTCTCATTGTTGCAGGCCGTACAGTGCCTTAAATTGCTTTGTACCACTTCATTTTAACTTTTGTAGAAACTTGTCTCATTGGAAATCATACCACATCTCCTCATTTATTATATAAGGTATATTATTTGTGTTATCAGAAAAGCTGGTTAATATAAAAATAAGGAGATGATAAACACATTTTTGCCTAAATGAATTAAATGACATTAATTTCAAACATGTGTTAAACTGTGCTTTTTTTATTTTACTACTAAACTGAGTTAAAAGGAAAACATAGATCAAGTTAAACAAGATAAAATTTTGTGAGCTTAAATACAAAGTGACTATTTCAACACTTTAAAATGCAGTAATGTCAGAACTCATGTACTTTAGAAAAAAACATATTTAAATATTTTTGCATAATAATGATAATTTAATCATGAATTAAAAGAAAGTAGATCAAGGATAAAAAAGATTATTTTCTTTTATCATCATAACATATTGTATTCAGATTTATTTCCCAAATTTGCTTGATTTTTTTTCAGACTACCTAAGTTTCAGGGGCAGATGCTGAGTTTTTTAAAGGAGGGCATATATGTAATTCCCAAAAAATTGAATACCGCCAAAAGGTGTGACGCTAAAAAAAGATTTGGAAGATTTTATACTAAAATTTATATATCGTGAAAAACATGATTTTTTGGGGCAATCAAAGGGGAGCTGGGGGATCATATTCCCTCTACATCCCCTGGATCCATCATTGAGTCTTACCACTGATTATCCACAGAAATATAAATATTCAATTCAAAGATTATACATGTATGTATCCTATATCCATTGCAGGAAAAAAGCATGCTCAACCTTTTGTGAATTTATTGTCTCTTCTGATTACATGTAAAACATACTGCATGAACAATGTTTTTTGATGGTGTAATAGCATTTATGTTGTATTTATTTTGCAGATTACAGATAGTGTCATCAAGTCCAGTATGAATAGCCATACTATTGCCCAGTTAGTCAAGGATATGGAGAATCCTGTCATATTTTATGAATGGAAGCAATACCTTCAGCAGTATTTTAAAACACTAAAGCATATAAGCACATATCACCACTTCATTTTTGATTCATCAAAACATACACAGATGTGTTATATGTAAAGAATCATGTGACTCATCAATATGGTTAAAAGAACAACACTATTATTTCACTATCTAATATGCCAAAAAGGATTAAATGCAGCAAGGCAGTGGTATATATCTATGAACAAATCAGGGAATATTTTTAATGAAATTAATAAGGATATATAGTCTGTCCAAAGCCTACATTGCAAAACTGAGGTTGACCTGACCTATGAAGGATAATCCAATAAACATTAATGTCCACCAAGAAAAGAGCATCTTATGAATTAAAATACCAAAGTTTTTTGTTTGTCTACTTTTCTAATTTGAAAAACAATATCAACTTCTCAAGGCTATTCATTAATTGTCACCAACAAAGTCAAAACCTTTTCAGTTGTAAATAAATTGACCACATGGCAGACAACTGGCATATCCTGCACTTGGTACAGACGTTTTCAATAGCAATGCCACTTAATTTTAAGTTTTTATTTCATTGGACTTGGGGAAAAAAATCAGATGGAAGTTTGTGATACTTTTTTCTTCTTATTTCATTTGAAAACAAAACACACATTTAAAACATAGGATAACGAGAGGCAACTCATAGAAGACCAACCAAAACTTATAAAAGGACAATTAATTTCAAAGTACAACGTGAAAAAAAAAACAGATTTAGGGACAATGACATGAAGACAGTACATTACCACCAGAAACAACACAGAAAATGTATGTAAAAATTAAGATATTTGAAGAAAAGAAGAAAACAGCCATTCTTGAATATTTATTGTTTTGTTTCCATAGAAACCACATCATGCACATATATATTCCACAAAAAACAAGATTTTTGTCATCAAGATAGATATTCAGATCTGGATTATTTATAGAAAACACAATTTTGAGGTGCAACTCATCTAAAACATTCCAATTGCCAAGAAAATAATTTATAGTCAGAATTTTGTTTGAATTTTCTGTTAAAATATTATGTACAAAAATGCATGCCGAATTAGAACATGCTGTATTTTCGAAAACCAGTTGAGATATCATCATAAAGTTTTGTATTCATGGTAAGCACATTAGTAGTATTGAAAAAATGCAAAAAACTGAAAATATGTATAAATTATTATACATCATAAAGTAATGCCAATAATTGATGTTTGTGTCCGTACACATAAACAAAATGCATGGCAACTATTTTGTTTCTTTATTCGTATATATACAAACTTCGAGACATATAATTTTCTTTGAAATTCCCACATTCATTCAGAGTTTGTAGTTTCGGGGTTCTTGTTTATTACATAAAATTTTTTATATATCCGGACTGTCACGTGTTGGCATAGATGAGAAGGATTAAGGCAATTAATTTCCTAGTGTAAAACCATGTTATACTGTGTTGGGAGAGATGTTGCTATTACAATAAACAAAATGTAGAGAATTAACTCTGTAATCGGAGAGAGCCCTTTCAATTTTCTCCAAGAATTTAGGAAGGGATATCCAAGTTTCCTGGTGTGACACGGAGAATTATTTGTATTTGAATTATGTATTTGGAGTATGGAAACCTATTCGTTTTAATTGTACTGTACTTATGTTTCACCTTTTTTTTTTTTTAAATATAAGCAAGTTTATAACATAAAAATAATATAAAATCTTACTTTTCTTTAGTTTGTGCTTCAAGTTCTTCTGACAACTTCTGTTTTTCTAGCTGGTCTGAAAATCCATTAATTGGAACATCTTCTTTTTCCTTAATGTCATCTTTTCCCAACTGGCTTAAAATCTCAACAACTGACTGTGTTGGAACGATGTCATCTGCCTTGTGAGTGTCAGATTCCTTTGTTTTCTGATTATTTGAAAGTTTTCTGTCTTTCCATCTTTTCTTCGTTACAAAATTATGCTTTAGGAAAGAAGTTTCAACTGTTTTCATACCATGCATACTGACCATATCTTCTTTTATCTGAAATGTTTTGTTAACTTTTTGATGAACTTTCTCATCAATTTTATCCAGAAACTTCATGTCATCTTCTGTTAAGGATTCCTCTAAACTTTTATTTATCTTATGTCTTTCTCCACTTGATAATTTGCCTAATACCGAATTTCTGGTTTTTTTTAAAGACATCACAGGTGGCTGGTAAGATTTTACCTTTGAACTTTCAAATTCTTTGTTATCATTATCTAATTCATTCAATATTGCACATAAGCAGTCATCTTCATCAATTTTGATTTCTGAAACTACTGGCTTCTGTTTTCTGATCAATGACAGTTGATATGAAAATGATGATCCTGTCTTATTTTTTAAACATTTAGAAATACTTGATGGGCTGGATGAATCTTTATTATTCTCTTTCTGGTCCACTGCTCCATCGTATATAATACTATGCTTTTCTTGTAGGTTTATTTCTTCCAAATTCTGATTGCCTTCAGGATTACTGGGAAAGTTCTGGTTATATCCAACTTTCTGGTTTTCATCATTTATCTTTTTATCAACAGTTCTATTTCCTGTCATAAGCTCTCTAACATTTTCAGACACCAATTTATCTTTTCCATTGTTTGCACCAAAATTTGAATAAAAAAATCTTTTTGAGTTTGGTGAACTCCCACATTTTGACATACGCTTCAAAAAAGTCCTTTTACCTTGATACACTTTTGTAGGTGTAACTCCCTCAGTCGCAAATAATTGACTGCCAATTTCATGTGAACTTAAATTGTTTTGTAAACTGCTTGAATCTTCAATTTCGTTCTCTATACATGTGTATGCTTCTCCTTGAACATTTTTTTCTCTTTCTGAATCATTGTCCTGTTTTTCATATGCATTAAACTTGAAAGAAGTAGATATAAGACCTTTTCTAGCTTTAGAAATCTGTTGCTTTTTAACATGTTCTTTCTTCAGGATGTATGGGTTTTCAGAAACGTTAGCACCACTGCTTAGAAAGCTTCTTCCAAAAGATTTCTTTTTTACTGGTTCATCATTTCTATCACTTTGTGGAGTATCAGGAATGATTCCCTCATCATCATGACCCTTCATTTTTGGTGTATTTTCTGCCAGACAAACCTGTGTTTCTGGGATAACAATTGTTTCATTTCGAATTAATTTGTCACTTTTGTTTCCTTGATTTAAATCAATTTTCAACTGGTTTAAACTAGTTTTAACAACAGTAAAATTTGATTGGTTTGAAGCCATTCTATCTGATTGAGTTTCAGTTTTGAAAGAACAATGTTCTTCAGTACTGAAACATTTAATTGCAGCTGTTATTTCACTTTCAATAACTTCTGTATAATTTTCTACTTTCCGATCTGTTCCCAAGTTCAAATGATCTGCTTCTACTTTTGTACTTCCTTTCTTTAATGTTAACTTGCTGACACTTGTTTGGCCAACTTTAGAAAACAAGCTACTTGAAGCAGGTGTTGCTGAATTTGTTTTAGCAGGCTGAAAAATAAATAAAAACGGTCGATGCTTCACAAATATATTTTTGCAAATCAGCAACTGGCTGCATAACATGTTTTCTAAAATAATGCATTTTTTCATTTTCTTTTTTTAATTTTCTCTTTTTAGTAATACTGAGTCTCACAGAATTTGTGATGGTGATAAATGATATCCCTATATTTCTTAAGGGAAAAGTATCACAAAAGCTTGGTGGCAGTTTGCTCCTTACAGCAGGGTTCAACATTAAAGGCTGTCCGATTGCCGGGGACAATTCAAAGTCATCACTGGGCAAGTAAAAGCTGCAGTATACTTGTCCGATTAGCATGTAAAAATTAAAAGTAAAAGGTGAAAAACATGGAATCTAGGCTTACTTAATTTTCTTTTTATCAATAAATAATCATACCAATTAGCCCAACACTTTCAAGTAAATTCAGCTTTAGTATTTTCCCTTTTTAAAATTGTCCATTGATAAATTTTGAAATTATAAAGAAACTAAGGTTTCAACTCCCTCAGGCAAAGTTGACCTTTGATGGATTTGGCTTTTTTTTTATGTCCTTTTTGGTGATATAGTTCTTCAACTGTTTTGGTTCTTATACATCCTTGGCTTTCAACTATTCGGCTTTGAGCGTTCCTGATGAAGGTAAATCCAGAAAAGCACTTCAGACGCATGAAATTTATATCATGTTTTCATTTATATATAGATATGTTAAAAGTATTGGCCAATCAGAGTACGATTCTTTTGTTGAGGCATTCTTTGATGAACCTAGCTATTTTAGGAAAATTATCCGAGAAATAATAACAAATTGAGATCTCCTTAGTAATATCATCAATTTTTAAAACCTTGAACAAAAGTGAAATAAAATAAGATTAGACACATGATTTTTTATAAGTTGTTATTGGTTTGAATTAGCTGTCAGTAACTGCAAGAACTCTCAGGATCTGTATTTTTGTCTTTGTTCAGGTTCTTATGTGCTTTGTATCAATCTGATGAGTTTAGCCATTCTCAACTGATTTTTATAGTTTGTTCTTATGTGGTACTGTTAAACCACTGTCTCAGGTTAGGGGGAGGGTTTGGTACTGGTGCCAGCAAACATGTTGAACTCTGCCACATTCTGTATGTGCCTGTCCCATGTCAGGAGCCTGCAATTCAGTGGTTGTCGTTTGTTACTGTATATCATATACTGTAAATTCAGAAATTATTGCGAAAAATGTGACAGGGTTATAAACGCAATAATTTAAACTCGCATTTTGATATTTTTTATATGAAGTAAACAGGATTTTTCTCAATATCGCGAAAATTAAAATCGCATTTTATTCTAAAATGACAAAATCGCAATAATAAACGCACGCAATAATTTCTGAATTTACAGTAATTTGTATTTAGTTTATTGTTTTGTACATAAATCAGGCCCTTAGTTTTCTCTTTGCAATTGTTTTACATTTGTCCTTTCAGGGTCTTTTATAGCTGACTATTTATGCAGTATGGGTTTTGCTCATTGTTGAAGGCCTTAGGGTGACCTATAATTGTTAAATTCTATGTCATTTGGTCTATGGTGGAGAGTTGTCACATTGGCAATCATGCCACATCTTATTTTTATGTTATACATTACATCTTCAAATATGTCTGGTTTTTTTATCATGTGAAAAGATTATATCTTTCTAGACATTTACCAATATGCTATTGTACATGTATGTATTTTTATAGAAAATATATATATATGAATAAATTAAACCCTGATAAATATTTATGAGCTCTCAACGTTCAGCAATATCTTATTGAAGAAAAGAGTTTATGAGGGTTAATAATTATAATATATTATGAAAGTCACTTCCATATCAATCCCAGATTAAACAGTGGTCCAGGAAAATTATTTTATTCCCAGTGTTCTCTTTGGATAGAGAACAAATTTAGTATTAAAATATAATTCCAGAGCCCCTGTGATTTAAGGTTGGAAAATTATTTTATTCCAAGTGTTTTCATTGGATAGAGAGCAAATTTCATTCTAAAATACAATTCCAGAGCCCCTGTGATTTAAAGGTTTGAAAATTATTTTATTCCCAGTGTTTTCATTGGATAGATCATAGAGAGCAAATTTCGTTCTAAAATATAATTTCTGAGCCCCTGTGATTTAAGATGGCACAACAGATAACTCTGGGTAAGTTTTTCGGCAGAATACGGAAAAAACTGAGAGCTGAAAATTTTGAAACAAAAAATATTAGAATATAAAAAAAGAAGAATATGAGACTTATTGGATCCTGGAATAAACACTTTGAGGGAAATAGGAGATGGTGCAGATAGGATTATCTGTAAATACTGTACAGAACAGACAAATAAGTCATGGCAAATAAGACAACAAAAAAAACACAGAAATGTTATGACTTAAATCATATTCTTCTTTGAGTTTGCCCTTTGGTCAATGGTAATCTGGTGTGGTTCAGGTGACTTGGTACAACACTTCGTAATCCAATACATTTCATATTGATTTTTTTTTCGCCACATTTTGATGTTGAGATTTTGGTTTGTTTGGCAAGTTATCAAAAAGATTGTTGGCACATGATCTAGATCGGGAACAGTGAATACCCTTCAGCATACACTTTTTCCTCGGAGAGTTATCTCTCTGTACACTGTTTTTCTTGTTATTGCTACTCCTTCACAACCATTAAAGAAATTGACAAATTTATTTTTCCAAATTGCTGTTTATATCCTCAGGATGTTCTGTTGAATTTTGACTAAGCAAAACAGAGACTCAAATTGTTCATTGTGACATGTGTAAACTGAAAATTTTTTTGCCTATTAGCAATTTTTGCACTTCCTTCATGGAATAGTTCTTTAGAAACCTTATATTTTTTATAAGTATAAACCTATCGTGAGACCAGAAGTTCCATCTGTAAATGGGAAGAAGCAAATTATTTCTCTTTTTCAGGCAAAAGTATATAGAAACCATATATTTTTGGAATCAGTGTGAACAGAGCTATCAGATGAGACCAGAAGTGACATTTTCTTAACCTGAAGTAGCAAATTATCTCCCTTATTTCATGCAAAAGTAAATAGTAACCATATATTTTTGGAATCAGTATGAAGAAACATATGATTTGATGCCAGTAGTAACTTTGAGTAAACAGGAAGTAGCTTATTATCAATGATAGAAATTTAATGGTGGAAAAACCTTCAATTGTTCTCCTTATTAATTAATTAATCAATTAATTCCATTTTGAATTGCATTTACCTGATTTTATGTCCATAAATGGTGGTTTAAAATTTCTTTAGCAAGTTCAAAATTTGGACAAGTGGTAACAGTATCTTCCGGACAAGTAATATATCATAGTAACTTGCCTAAAGGGCTACTTGCTAAAAGAGAGGCGACAGATACAAAAGGGACATTCAAAGTAGAAAATAAAAAGACAAGGCCATGGCAAAAAATGAAAAAGACCAAAAGACAACAACAGTGCACAAAACACACCAATGAAAACTAAAGACTGAACAACACGAACCCTACCCAAAACCGGGGGTGATCCCAGGTGCTCCGTAAGTGTTTGCAGATCCTGCTCCACATGTGGTACCCATCGTGTTGCTCATGTAAGTACAAACCCAGTGATAAGTCTAATTCGGTAGGTCACATTCGTGGAAAAGAGGACAGGATTGTGGTTACAACAATTGGAACTTATCTGTCTTCATCTGTGAAATAGATATTCCATAACAATCAACCAACTTGTGATGGCTTCCGTAAAATTTACAAAGAGATGATTTCAATTTCATCTCTTGGAGCTCTTTGATTGAATTGCTTTAAATTTCTTGTGAGCAGCATCCCTCAATGAAGGAAATCATCTCTTTTCCGTATAGTTTTGTTTTAAACCAACCCTCATTGTCAATTTCTAGATGCAAGTCAATATATGAGGCAGACTTAACTGTATCGGTTGTATCCTTTATCTCAAGTGTGATGGGATAGATGCGTTCAACATAGTCACCAAACTTTGAGAACATCATCCATAAAGAGGAATGTGAAGTTAAAGGATAATGCTAACTTCTTTTCTTTCTTTCTAAAAAGCTCCTGTATGAAGTCAGCCTCATATGATTACAGGAATAAATTGGCAAGAACAGGAGCACAGTTGGTTCCCATGGGAAAAGTTAATGTCCAACCTTGTACAGGAACATTTCATTATTTTAAGGACAGACTATGTTCATCCTGACCAACATTGGAACATTACTGGGATAGAAAAGACATGATTCAAGTTTAACAAAGCTTTACATGGTATCAATATGATATCAATTAGATGAAACTCTTTTATTAAGGACAATTAAATGCAACTAGAGGTCACTCTTTAAAACTTTCAAGAGTCAGTGACGGACAATCCAAAGGTTACATATTTTTTTCATTTAGAATAGTAGATCAGTGAAATAACCTGTCAGATTCAACTGTGCTTCAAGGTTTTTTAATGCTTTAAAGTCAGCTTTAGATATTGATGATGATGATGATGGATGGCTGCTTAACGTCCATCGGCAAATTAATATGCATATTCAGGACGAGAACATGTTAATGTAATATGAATATTTACCCTGCTTTGTACTAGACCGACACGCTTACCTGGATTTTTAACGTGCTAGTACACAAGGTAACAGTCCACAGGAATACATGTCGACTTACCCAGTCACATTATTCTGACTCCGAGCCGACCAGTCTTTGCTCTTACTCCTTAGCAGAGAAGCAGCAAATACCAATTTTTAAGTCTTTGGTTTGACCCGGCCAGGGTTCGTACTCACGACCTCCTGCACTCGATTGCCAAGGTCAGCTGTGAATGAATTCGCAGGGGATGTAGAAAGACAAAAGTTTCCATCTGTTGATCACCCAGCTAAATAAGTCACAAATAACTATTTTATGGCCAAAGTCAATTTAAATCAGCATAAAGATCTGTTGGCATCAATCAAATGGTAACTGGTTTACGGTGGACTTTTCCTGATGGTCAAACCCATACCTTTATAGAAAAAAAAAATTTACCTTTTGACT